GAGGATGGGTGGCCCCCAACATCTATTACCTGGGTGAGATCTTTGGCTCATACTCGAACATGCAAACGTTATTACTTTAAAGGGGACCTCGGATGCAAAATTCACTTTTACATGGTGTTTGCATATAATGTGTCGTAGCAGTGTGTAGACACAAACACCCTACAAGGATAAAAATCCATTCACTACTTTTTTTAATCCCCCAAAAACCTGAACAGTCTCAATTATCAACCCGTTTTGATTTTCTGAGCAGTATGATGTCGTACTGCTCAGGCCCCGCCTACAACCGCTGACGGACTTTTCCCGTATTAGCATATTTCCCATAGATATGTATATCTATGATATTTCCGCCCTCAGTCAGTTCTACACTGTCTGCAGGTGTTTTGTAGCTGGATGTAAAAGTGAATATAAGAGCCACTGAGGACGCAGTGGATTAGTTTTGTTTTTGATGGTAATGCGCCACTGAATACACCTAAATTCATTATGTCAAAATGACATCGAAGCTTTTCTGAAGACAGATGGTCCCCTTCAAAGATACATTCATATAAAAACACCTGCATCGCATTTTGATTTTTAAACATGCAGACAGTGCTCATGTTCATTCAACAAAGTTTTTGACCTCGGGGTGAGCAGAGCTCATTAGCATTTAAAGAGACATGCACCGAAACGGGTCACTGTGAACAGAGCTGTTTCTGACAAGGTAAAAAGGGTGTTGTTTTACGGTACATTCACTCGGGGCGTTGGCGTCAATGGGAGGGCGTGTCTGAAGCTTGGTGCTTCAGTAACAACAGCCAATTACATTGGACCGCAATTGGTTAGCAGCTGAGCTAGGCTATTTGCATAAGGCGATCTGATTGGCTGACGGCTCCGTTGGCGCTTTAAAAGTTGAGAAATTTTTAACTTCTGCCGCAAGCAACGCCAGTGACGTGACGCCGACGGACACAAAATTCAGTTCGGCAACGCATGACGTCACCCATTCCAAGTAAATGAGAAGCGTTAACGCTGATGCCCCGTGTGAATGTACCCTTACATGACCACTGCGGAATTTTGACTAAAGTATGTTGCAGACATTTCATGAAGACCCTAAAGAATCATACCTAACTTAACTTGTGGAAAATGGGCATCCGATGTCTCCTTTAATATGTAATAAGATTAATAAGAGTTGTACTAAATTTGTGTTCTAATGTTGTATGATCAGTTTTTTTATGGTTTTCTTAATAGCACTTGGCTTAAATAGCAGTTCTCAATGGATTTGTTGTTCCTCATTCCTCAGGTTATGCTGGCGTTGTACGCTTTAAAGGTGTACGGATTGGCGGTCTTTCAGGAATATTCAAATCCCACGATTACAAGAAAGGTACATTTTAACAATTCCAAATCAGTTGTGTTATAAGAGCCAAATATGACATTTCTGAACTTTTTTTTTATGCAATTTCAGGACACATTGAGTTCCCGCCATACAGCCCAGAAACCTTGCGCAGTGTGTACCACATAAGGAACATTGATGTCTTCAAACTTAAACAGGTAAATCTTTGTGATATCTTTAAATCCAGTCATTTTAGAATAAAAAAAAAACTAGTTTATATGCATCTAGAGAAAACAGGAATCAAAATATAATTTACAGTTTAATTAATAAAAAGATGGAAATAATATTTAGCTGTCCGTGTATAATATCTAACCTAACTCCTCCAGATCAAGATGCCTATAGACATCTTCATGACTCATGATTGGCCACGAGGCATTTATCACTACGGCAACACAAACCAGCTTCTCCGCCAGAAGAAGTTCCTCAGACAGGAAGTGGAGAGCAGTACCTTGGGCAGCCCTGCTGCTGCAGAGATTCTAGACCACCTGCAGCCCACCTACTGGTTTTCAGCTCACCTGCACGTGAAGTTTGCTGCACTGATGCAGCATGAGGTGGGTCCTTGTGGGTATATATAAATATATGGAGAGATATAAACCTATCTACCAACACAATCTTTTGAAATAATTGTAATATGTTATATGCATTTAATATATTTTTAGTTATGTGTGTGTGTGATATATATATATATATATATATGACACAAAAATTCAACATGGCTTATGAAAATGCTTTTGGAATATCTGTATTTTATTCTTTCTATATCTCTCTTGCTGTTACATGCTACAGATGTGAAATGTGTGAAACACTAAGATGAGATGTAGATGTCAGCGCTTATTATTCATTATGAAGTAAATAACAACAAGCTATTTTTCAAAACAGGCTAAGAATAATGCTGCCCCAAAGATCACCAAGTTTCTCTCACTTGACAAGTGTCTTCCACATAGAGACTTTCTTCAGGTAATGATTCTGTTGTTTCCATCATCGAGCATGTTTCAAGCTCCTCCAGTAGTATCCACTTTGTCCAAATATTGTGAGTCCCAAACAGTAGATCTAGTCTTTGTGAGTGAATGAATGTTTTGATATTGCAGATTGTGGAGGTAGCAGACAGACCGGGCTCCTCTGAGCACCTTGAGTATGATCCAGAATGGCTGGCCATCTTAAAAGCGACAGACAACCTTCAGAAACCATCCTGCAATTTCTGGAACCCCCCACAAGACAATGGACTACACACTCGGTATAGACTACATTACAATGACCGCATTTACATGCGCATCATTTTCTGATTGCTTGCTAAGCCTTCGTTGTATTCCCAATAAATTCTGTTCTATTTTCGCTATTACTGTGGGAATCCTGGGTCTAGGTGCATTAACATAGCTACTATGTTAAGATTGAGTCTTAAAAATGAGTTTGACCAGCTAGCAGTTAGCCAAGTCTTTCTTACGTTTTGGATTCAAATTAGACCATTTTTTTATGTAACTGACTTTAAAAGTTATGACCAGTCTTGAAGAAAAAAATTAGATAACTTTTAGGACTTGTCTAAGCAGCGTATGTGGCATTTTTGAGGAAAGCATGATAGTTTTTTTTTTTTAGGAATCTTTGAAGAATAGAAAGTTCAAGTGAACAGCATTGATTGAAAATTTAATTTAATTTTATGACATTATTAATGTCTTTACGGTTACTTTTGATCAATTAAATGCATGTTGCTTAATATGTTTTTTTTTTCTTAAAAAAATAAAAATCCTTCTGACCCCAAATTTTGAACAGTAGTGTAATATCAGACTTATTATAGGCTTACATAATATTGAGAAATTGGCTAAACTGGTTTATAACAATCGGGTTAACACATTTACATTACATGCATACATAATTGTAATAAGACCAAATTCTAGTATTAATCAGAATATTGTGCACATAAATGCAGTCAATGTCTTGACTTGCACACAAATTAATTTCTATGTCTTAAGTATTTAGCCATTCTGTTCCTCTGCTTCTTTCAGGTGGGATTTCAGTGCATCAGAGGAAGCTATGATGAAAGTCGTGAGTGATTTGAGCGGTGACCTTTGCATCCCTGAAAATTTCAGCCTGACCGTGCCTGCCTATGACCCCAGCCGCCCTCAACCCAATGCCCACCCGGCCTACTCCACCAACCCCCAAACCACAGAGTTGTGTGCCACCCTCAGCTTGACAGACATCTATATCCTGGCTGGGCAGAGTGGGCAGGCTTATGGAGAGGAGGGCGCCACCGGTGCGACTGAAGAAGAGGAGGATGAGGACAGCACAGGGAGCGTAGACGAACCCAGCGAGTACCCCACCGACACCTCCGGCCTCTCCAGCTCCTACAACCCTGATGAAATCACCATTGAGGATGAATGGGAGGAGGTAGAGGATGAGAGAGTAGAATGTGCCGAGGGGAAAGGGACCGACGCAGTGGTTCCAGAAGGGCAGGTGGGGAGCCAGGACAGTGATAGAGACAGCAGTCCCCAGCGAGAGACGGCTAATAGACTGATCTTACCGCCCCCGTGTACTGCACCAGAATCGGAGGCTCCACTACGCTCCTTGCAGCCTCTTTCTCTTCCCCCTCCTTCAGCATCCCTCTCTCAGGGCAGCTCAGAAGAGGAGGGGGGCTTCACTTCAGCCAGGGTCCCCAAACGCAACAGCGGGGAGACGACACCGGGGTTAGCAATTCACACGGGCGGCACACCTCAGATCAAACGGAGAAACCAGAGTATCTACACCGCAGTAGAGGATGAGGAGAGTGAGGGCTAGATAAATGCAATTATGTTTTCCGATCAGCTAATTACTACTAAGTATGATCTGCCGGATAGTTTGCTGTCTCTTTATGAGTCTGAAGAGTTGAACGGGTTGCTAGACCGATTTAACATAAATCATCATCTGCTTGGTAACCACTGTTTTTAAATAACAGGATTTTTGTTGTTGTTGTTGTTTATGAGTGTGAGGAGTTAAAGAAAAACTATTTTCAGAAATGTCAAGGTTTGGAACAACCAATTTTTCTTTGTATTTTTATGTGTATAAAGTAACACCACAACCGTTAATTTGTATCTTGTATTTGTCATTTATTTTCCATTGTGATGAGTTTTAATGATCTGTTCCTTTCTATATTTTTAGCCAAATATATCACTTCACACTCAGTAGTTTACTCTGTCTTGGCTGTTATTTTATTAGCTTTGTGGTGATTGATGTATTTACAATAAAATGGTAAAGCCAAATCAAAGTCTAAATAATATTTGATCCTGATGTCTTTTTTTTGTTGTATATTCTATCTCAGTCTTTCATAAAAAGGCAATAACTGCAGCAACTTTCGTTTTTGGCTAACCAGTGTCACTGAGCTGTTGGCATCATCCTGGTTACCTCAACAAAAAGCAAATATTTTTCAATCGTGTTTTGAATAATTGCATAAAATGAGCTCTGTGACCAACAAAAGTTTATGATACACATTCATAAAGATAATCTTCATTTGTGAAAACATGACATTTTTATGAATTTTGAAGCATAAATGCAAAAAAAATAATAATTAAGGCAATAAATGGATTACAAATTCAGTCTTTAATTTCAATCTTCAAGAAATCACGAGTATTGTATTACTAATATATTTTATGTCGTAGAATAAAATGTGGAAATAACTTGAGCTTGTGTTAACCACAGACTTGAAGGCATTTAACTAAAACCCATCGACTTCAGAACAATGGAAGCGTATGTGCAAAAATGCTCACTTGTTTTTGGATTTTCCCCCAGCACTCTATATTAGAGATTAAACTTCTATATTCCGATCTCGAACCATTCCAGTCATGCTCTGTTGACTTTTCAAGTTGGACGTTTGACCTGGAGTGCCATTCCGGTTATATTCAAGCAGGAGGAGGGGATATTCCAAAGTTCTGAGTGTGGAATGCAGCACTGTATTCCTAGAGAGCTATCTATTAGCATTCAGCACTAGGAGTGTTTGGGAAACCTGTCTGGTCAGTATGTTTGCTATATCATTTGGTGCTGCTACTGACATTTAGTTTAGACACTTTAAATTGTTGAATGCTTCTTCCTCATAAACGACTGTTAGCAGGCTAGTCGAAAAAGCCACGGAAACTAAAGCCACATTTTATTCATAGCAGAACAGCACAGCTTTATTTAACATTTCAGTTCACAAAGGTGTTAACAGGAGATCAGATCTATTCCACAAAAAAGGTGGACCTGAAGACACATGACAAATGACTTCTAGCTGTGTGACACCATATTATGATACCTAATTCATTCCCTAAATGACCATATAAATGTATTGGTAACCCATTGAATTACTGACTAAAATAAATTTTAAATAAACATTTTTATACACATCAACAAACAGCATCCATAAAACAAAACTTCATAAATGACTCTGTTACTAACACGCTCAACTAATTATTCTTACAGGTTTTTGCCTGTACACTTCGGGCCACCGTCTCGAAACGCTACTTTTCGGCGGTCTGACGACCTCAAACAAGCCCAAAACAAAGAACACGGAAAAAACGGAGTAGGCACTTCTTTTTTTCCCACTATTTCAGGGGCTTTGTGGACCAAAATTTCCCTTGCTGTTATTTGCCGTCCCGGCATAACGCACAACAATGGTTGCTAAATCATTCACGTTGTTGATTTGTGGTTGCTTGAATATTTTTGTTGCTTTTTAATAACACATACTGAGACATTGACCTAGTATTGCATGACTTCCTAGTCCAGAAGAATCAATGTGCGTTATTCTGCGATTACTCGTGAAGCGAAATGGTTTACGATCATCTACGGTCATCTGGTTTCTGCCAATGTGTTGTGAATGATTTGTCGATTGTTTCTTAAACAGTAGTTTACACAAAGCGACGAGAACGTAGAGAAGGCATCGTAGAGCTTGCTGTTGTTTCGTGAACTTCAACGCTAAACTTCAAGATCAATGTGGTCGGGAGAAGGAAATGGGATAGGGAAGACAACAGTGGTGTTCTTCAATACTTTTTGGTTCTAAGATGAATGACGAGCTACGTAAGGGAGACCAGTTCGAACAAAGGTAATAAATAAAGCTGGAGGCTGAAGAAAACAAGTTCAAGGTGAATGAATAACTTCTGCTTCAGTGTTCCTTTTGTAAAATTTAGTAGATGTGGCTCATGGTTGGAGAATTGCTAGGTTAGGTGCTGACTTCCTTCCAGTGTCTGAGTTGGGATCAGAATGGGAGAGCCCAGAGCATACGGATACTCTGTAGATTTCGCTTGAAGACTTCCAGCTATTTTAAGGGGGCTTTATGGACCATCTCGGTTCATTCTAGGACTGAGAACGGGATTTGTCGATTAAATAATTCTTCTGTTCATTGTGATTCTTCTGTGTTCCTGTATCTCTTTGCCAATCTCTTTTTTCAATCTCCAAATGATCAGTATTTACTGCCAGATATGACAGTGTCCATCGTCCGTTCACTTTCTGCCCTGTCCATCAGAAGTCTTCCTTGAAAAATCTCTTTATGGCATCACTGAGGGATTTTTCCTCAATATCTTTCTGTTCTTCCTCTATCCTTCTATTTCTTTCTGTATCCGTCTTAGGAGGTGAAAGGGTAAAGGGTGGGATTTTGGGAAGGAGCAGGTGTCGGTGGTCTCCCGTGGTGGAGTGTTGACAGGCCTTTAGTTCCCACAGCAGCTTCGAGTGGACTGTGCATCTGGTTCCTGAAGGTTTACCCCCCTGTGTCGGGCAGCATGCGTGGGGTTTTGGGTGTCTGTTTTTGGCATCTTTTTTGCTATTGAAAAAAAAAAAGAGAGTTGAATGAAAAATAACGAGCCTTAATACTGTTCATAACGTCAATCTTTTGTTTAAAGTTGGCATGAAATGAAAATTCACTATTTCTTAAATTGTTATTGAATTTATTGCGAAAGTAATCATCCATGCATGTTTCTTTTTTTCTGAACTTGTCATTTTTAATCAAAATGTCACAAATTCGATCTGCCAGGAAAACGGACTTCTCTTTGGTGACATGCCAGACATCTTCAATCATGTAGTCTGTTTAAACCCTGTCCTTTTCTTACATTTGACTGCAAGCTTGTGTTCAGATCTGCCTCCAATCAACAACTGACTAAAAGAAACATGTTTGCTTTTTTTGATAGTCTGTTTCACTTGGATGTACTTGAATGGTACATGACATGCCAGAAAAAATAAATTGATCGTGCGCACGATTTACTAATTTGTTCCCTTGATGTACTAAAACATGCACAAGATTACTATTTTGTTCCCTCGATTTGCTAAATCGTGCACACAATTTAGTCTACTAATTTTTTCTTGCATGTCACATGCGGGGCTCTGTACGGATGTACGTCACAATTGAAAAGAAAAGATCTGTCGCTACTTCCGTTTCATCACAACTTCACAAATAAAGAATAATGCAACATAATTAAGAAATGACTAGCAATCTGGAAAATCTGGAACTGGGAGAGTATGCAGGGGAATTTTAATTCTGCCTGTAAACAAAAGTCTAACAATTTTCTAAAGCCTAAGGTTTACAATAACCAGGTGCAGAAGAGAATACACTAGTAAGAAGACGGCTTTAACGCTCACCAATGGCCAGGAACAACTCGTTTACATTCATTGCAGTCTTGGCAGATGTTTCCATGAAAAGCAAGCCTGTGTCTTCTGCATATGTCTGGGCTTCCTGTACAGAAATGTAAAATTAATATCTGGGTTACGGCACACAAGACATTAAAGAAATAGTCAACAGTTTTGGCTGCAAAATGTAATTTTTTTAAATATAAAATGTACCACCATTAACACAACTATATACACAAATATATGCTTTTATACAGCAAAGATGCATTAAATTGATAAAAGAGTGGCAGTAAAGACATTTATAATGCTACAAAGGATTTCGATTTCACATAAATGCTCTCTGTTCTTCTGAACTTCCTATTCATCAAAAAATCCTGAAAATCACGGTTTCCACAAAACATTGATAATAATAAGAGATATTTCCTAAGCACCAAATAAGCATATCAGAATGATTTCTGAAGGATTATGTGACACTGAAGACTGGAGTAACGGCTGCTCAAAATTCAGCTTTGCCGTCAAAGGAATAATAACATTATAAAATATATTAAAAATAAAAGTTATTTTAAATTAATATTTCACAATGTTTTACTGGATTTCTGATCAAATAAAAGCAGTCTTCGTGTGCATAAGAGGCTTCTTTCAAAACCATTAAAAATCTCACCAACCACAAACTTTTGAATGGTACCGCATTTTGACATTGAAACATTTTAATTATGTTCCGTGTGCTTTTTAAGGTTGAAATACAAACAGCACCACACTATGCACACAACAATCCCAGAGCTATTCATAAATCAAACCCCGATGTGAGTCTTTTTGTCATTTCATTGACAGGAAAAACCCTAACACCACCCATGTCTTGAAATATGATTAAAGAAAGAAAGGTATGACCTCATAATCCACAAGTCTCTTGTCTGCTAGGTCAGCCTTGTTTCCTGCGAGAGCAATGACAATATTGGGACTGGCCTGCCGCTGCAGCTCTTTCACCCAAGCCTTTGCTCGCTCGAATGTTTCCTACAAACACATGGCTAAACACTAAGCAACAAATCTACTATTTTACCAAATGAAAGTTTGTATCCTTTATATAAAGTGTGTACCATTGTAAACTTACAGGCTTGGTGATGTCAAAAACTACAATAGCCGCCTGGGCTCCACGGTAGTACATAGGGGCCAAGCTGTGGTAGCGCTCCTGTCCAGCCGTGTCCCAAATCTCAAACTTCACTGTAGTGTCATCCAGACAAACAGACTGTGCCAAGAATGCAGCTGATGGTGAGCAACAGATAAAAAAAAAAAAGATAAGTAATCTAAGCCAGAGATTCAAAGATTAATAATACTGATGAGTCCTGACATTCTTTGTTCTTGGAATCAGGGTTATAAAAATGACAAAATCATAAAATACTAAAACTTTCACTCAAAATGGACATTCAAACTAACAAAAATTAAAGGGAAAAGTACTTCTAAATATATAAAAATACTATAATAGTATACAAATAATGCTAATAAAACTGTTTTGAATAGAATACTAAAACTTAGTTTTTAATGTACAAACAAAACAGTATGGTCTAAATACAGCAAGGGTAAAGCAAGTGTAAAAACTTATATTAAAGCTAATGAACAATTTACTAAGCAGTAGAATTTTTTTTAAATAATTTTAATTTATTTGAATTAATTATTCATCGAACATCTGCATCTTTTATTATATACTGCTGTTGCTGCAGTTTTATAAAAGCAAAAAGCCACTCAAGGCAGTGTTTTAATGTGATTTTATCTTCAGTTCATGCTTTTAAATACCCCTTAACCGTGGTAAAATCACTGCGATCCATGACCTCAAGTGCTTTATTACTTTAGCAAGAACTCCAGTCTAATATTAGTGTTAAGCAATTAGCAATGAGTTCATTTATTTGGTATATGTCTGATTCTAATTTATGGGAGCCAAAGTCTATAACAATGTTTGCAAATACTAGTGTGAAGATTATACTCCAAGATAGTGAACCTGGTTTGTCATCATACTCACACGTGATGGCATCTACTGCTATGACTAGGTACAAGATCAGCTCAGTTTGAAGTCAAGTTAACACAATGTTACAGATCGATGTAAAGAATCCACAAGTGTGTTCTCACGGCTGACTGTGCCGCTCTCACCCAATGGGACTCTGACAAGGCTCTCCCTGGTATTCTTCCAACGCTTGAAGTGTTTATTTGCAAAACGGGGTAATAGGCAAAAATTTAGGTGTACAATTGTGTGTGTGATTTTTTTAAACTAGTGTTCATGTAGCACAATTGGTTGTGCATGGTAAAAGGATCTACCAAATTATGTACAATACCATTCAAACTTTCGGGGTCAGTAATATTTGCAATGTTTTTGAAAGAATTCTCTTATACTCACCAAGGCTGCAATTATTTGTCTAAAAAAATAAAGAGTAAAAACGGTAGTATTATGAAATATTATTAAAGTATGTTCTATTTTAATACATTTTAAAATGTAATTAATTACTCTGAGAGCAAATCTGAATTTTTAGCAGCCACTACTCCAGTCATCAGTGTCACATGATCTTACAGAACCCATTCTAATATGCTGATTTGGTGCTTAAGAAATATTTATTATTATCAATGCAGAAGTGGAAACGGAGATACATTTTTTAAGCATTCTTTGATGAATAAAAAGTACAAAAGAACAGCATTCATTTGAAGTTGAATACTTTTTTTTGTAACAATGCAATAATCTTAACTGTCACTTTAAATAATTTTTAATGTGTCCTTGCTGAATAAAAGTATTAATTTATTTCAAAAACCAAAACTTACTGACCCCAAACTTTTGATCGGTACTGTATGTAGGAATGTAAATGCTTTAAAACAACCAAAATCTACCTAAATATCAATACCCATGTTTATGAACTCAATTCAAATTCATCACCTATGCCTCACCTCCAATGGTGGTCTCCTGAAACTCATCAAACTGGCCCTTAACAAAGCGCAGCACCAGGCTGGACTTGCCTACGGCCATGTCTCCCAGCAGCACCAATTTGAACTGGCAGATCTTGGTCTGCGGTAGGCTTCCATTGGCCCTGCTGGTCCCGCGAGTGCTCATGATGTAGGAAGGGTGGCCGTCCTCCCTGACAGCGTCTTTAAAAGCAGCAACTTAAAACAGTCAAGTTTTTTTTTTTTTAAGTACTGGAGACTTTTTAAGTTGTGAGGACAGCTGTCAGACTGTGATGCTAAAAAACAAACAACAATAAGAGTAGGATGTTAGTGGAATGGGTAGTGGAAGAGGAAGAAACTTACAACTAAAACATTCTGGTAAAGTGAGTGAGTGAGTGACGTGACATGTGGCCAAGTATGGTTTCCCATACTAGGAATTAGTGCTCTGCATTTAACCCATCCAAAGCTCACACACACAGCAGTGAACACCCACACACCGTGAACACACACCTGGAGCAGTGGGCAGCCAAGGGCACCTCAGTCGTGGTATTGAAGGTGGGAGAGAGCGCTGTACATTCCCCCCACCTACAATTCCTGCCGGACCTGAGACTCGAACTCGCAACCTTTGGGTCAGGCCAGGAGAGATAACTTACTGAAAATGACTGTTTTTGTCATTACAAGCAATTAAAAACACACCGAGACATTTTTTAAAATATCTTCTTTTATGTTCCACAGAAGACAGCTCGTCATTAGGGATGTAACGATTCACTCAACTCAAGATTCGATTCACAATTTTGATTTCACCATTCGATTTTCACCATTCATTCACCAATCACAAAATGAGATTGAAGACATTATACAGTAAATGAAAAGGTGTCGTTTTATTAGGCTATTGCTGCATGTTTCTTCGAGAAATTGAAATATAACAAAACTAAATTGAAATTTTAAAACAAACCCCAAATCAAACAAGTTACACAAATAAAAGAAATCTCTTAATATGAACAAACTAAGGCTTTCTCGGTGCTCTTTCCATTTAAAAAAAAGAGGCAACCACTGGATTTTAATCGTGATCCAAACAAAGATGCAGCATACATGCAGCATGAGTAGTTTTTAATCTAAATTAGACTGTATAATTTCGAAATTTGAAGCAAAAACAGAAGGGTCTGACTCTGACTTTAGTTTTGTGAAACTATACTACATAAAACATCTCTGAACGAAACAGCAGACGAGCTGAATGAGACGCAGATTCACTCTCTGACAGCAGGTGGCGCTTATGAACAGCAATAATACAGTGTTTCCTGGGTTACCGCTGTGAACAAAGCAGAGCTGTGCTTATGAACAATACATATATAGTCAGTTCCCCTCAGAGATACATTCACATAAACTCCTACTCCAATTGCATCGCGATTTGTTTGGCATCTCAACTGATTTGAATCGTCACATATTTGAATCGATTTCCGACCGGCTCGCGGTTAATCGTTACATCCCTACTAATCATACGTGTTTGCAACCACATGAGGGTGAGTAAATGATGCCAAAATGTTCATTTCTGGGTAATCTATCCCTTCAACTATGCTCTAGTAAAAACTACTATGGCTATAGCAAAACTAAACTAAAACAAATCAAATAACAGGCAAAAACAGTTGAACCATTCTCGTCTCCCTCTCTACACAGCCAAATTACAACTTTCAAGTCAGCAGTCATAACCACAGATGCTCGAAGTAGTGAATCAGTTCTCATCAGAAATAGGGAAGCTGATGAGTAAAGCAACAAAATAACATTTCTTAGGTAAGAGTTCATTGCTAAACATCCTCATGACAGTTTAAATCTTTGTCATAAACTTTCGTAAATAATAATATTTCTGATTCAACAGCTTAAAAATGTCTCAAGAAAACAAGGTGGCAAGTATCTCAACTCAAGTGAACTTCAAGATTGTTTTGATGGGCATAGCACGAAACAAATCAACACTTATCTCGGCATCTCAGTGAAAATATCTGGATATTGAAAGTACAGCCTCCCTCATACATTCCAAATCCACAGTTCCTCCCCAAGAATGAATTTTATTGTTGAAAATTCCTCTTGTGATGGATGGCGACATAAACAATGATCACTAACCTAGATATTGTGCACCAGTTTGTCCACCAGTTTTGTGAAACTGTCACCTCTTTGTGGTTTCTCAGTTGTGTGCTGTTCTGCTCTCTGAGTTTGCATCAGTGTCGTTTTGCAGTGCAAATATTTATAGCTTAACTTCTTTAAGTACATAAGTCGAAGTCGGCTGGCCATTTCATACAGCAACATAAAGGCATTAAATAAAGTGGTAGTAAAATAACAATATAATCAAAGCACTCACTGTTGAGCTGATTGTAATTATACAGTTATATTGATAATGTTGTTGTAATTAATTGCATTTACACATACTGCTTGACATTTCCATTGTAAAAATAAAGAGTTACCATGATTTGCACTCACATTTTCTCACATAGTGAAGCTATAGGGTGGCCAGTGTTATACAGTATTTGTCCATTTGAATGTTGTGTTTCATCCTGAATATTCATAACCTTCAACTATCCATTAGACCCTCCAGTTTTACATAACATCTTTAATCCATAATTTTGACCAGTATGTCAACTGTATACTGCATGCGAATTAATGCATAAGTCCAATAAACAGATGCAAGTCTAATCTAATCTAATAATCACGTGGAAGCCTATTGATCTGATTAATAACTCTATTAATAAAGCATATCTCTACTGATCCGATTAATCACGTGTATGTCCATCGATTTGATTAATTACTCTAAAAATAAGGTGTTTGTTTATTGATCTGATTTATCACTCTATTAATATGGCATATATATATATATATATATTGATCTGAAAAAAACTATAATAATCAAGGACATATCTGCTTATCTAATGCATAACTGTAAAACCAGGTGTATGTGTAGGTGATCTAATCCATAACTCTGTCAGTCAGGTGATTGTGTCTGATGGAATGCATTAGAGACGCAATACAGACTCTGACCATTAACGTGACTCGTCTCGATCCAGGCGAAGCGGGCCGAGCGGTGCCATGAACATCAGTTTCTAAAAGAATAACACCTCTTTTACATACATAGAGTCATATAAAACTACCAACATTAGGGATATCTACCTGTTGTTGCCAGGCGCTGCTGTTTTCGTGGTGGCTGTTCGGCTGTTGGTCTATCAGCTGGTTATCGGTCTGCAAGCACTTCCGCACATCCGCGCATGCGCAGTGAGCAACACAAGTCAACGCATTTGAAGAGAAAGATTTCTTTGTTTTTAATATAAGGTTGCTGTGGTTTCTCTTTTGTAAGGACTGAGCTTAAAATTTCATACACTGCTGTCTTGTATTTTTGAAAAATAAAATCAAAACTAGGTTACATTCATTAAAACTATTATAAAAATAAGACAATTAAATAGCTTTACATTTCTTATATTAGACTGAATTAACTAACTTTTATTTTGAAATCGGGAGAAGCACTTCTAAAAGAAGGCTGTCAGAAAGTAATGTATATTATCAGCGAATACTTCAAGATGTATAAATAACAGCAAATATTGTTTTTATCATCGTAAACCAGGTTTTTGTCTGACTTTTACATTGAAATGAAGTCGGGCTGCAAAGGGAACTATTTGTGTTACCTCACGCAGACATGGCAACAGTTGTGCTGTTTAATCGTTTGTTTTCTTAGAGATAATATTTCTTTAGAGATCTTTACATGTTTATTAGGCGTGAACTAATTGGTTATTCTAAGGTGACGGTTTGGTTATTGTGTGGACCTCTAATAATGGTGGAGTGAATGAAAAGATGAAAATGCTGAAGTTTTGAGCGGCATAACGTTAGTCCGTTTGGTATCGGGTTGCGCGCGCGTCAGTGTGAACAGCATCGGAAAGCATTTCAGTTAAAAATATATTTTATATATGATGACCACCTTTTGAAGCCCTAAAACTTTCAAGGATCAGGTAAGGAGAATAAAAGCTAAACTCATTATCGCTGTGTTGGTGTAACGTTATTAGTTCTGGAAAATATGTTGCTAAACTTGTCAGAAAGTTGTCTGACTGATCTAAATCTGGCTTACATCGAGAGTTTGACATCGTTGTTATTGGTAATATAAATATTTAGCAAAAGGAGAGATCCTCCGCATCGCTTTTTCTTGTGTTCTGTGTTTGGACACTTGAATTGGAGTAAAGGAAGCCATTTATTGTCCGTTGAATACATACAAAAACCTTCTGGATTGATGTGGAACATTTAAAAAAGAAGAAATTGAATGTTGCTTTACAGTTTAGTGGATCTGACATAATGATAAACTTCAATGACTGTGTAATTGATAAAGATAAGGCATTTATTATACTGTTGCTAATGTTAAGGGTAATGTTTCCCATTCATAAAATGAAATGGTATGACTCCAAACCAAATTTTAATCACTTTAAAATGTATTATTTTAAGCCTTATTGTAATGTTTTGCACTTTTGAATTAATATTTCTATTTGTATTTCTTGTGTATGACATTAATAAAAAAATTAACTGAAAAAGTTGCTGATTAGCATCTAGATACTTTACTGGGATGATGTGGTTGTCATGGAAACATTGAAAGTTCATTTTATCAAGGCTATTGCTTGACTGTAACTCATATGATATGATACAATATTGGGGATTGGGTACACAATACCTTGACTTTCCAGTTGTATTGTAAACTCTCTATCCATCCTTTTTATTGTTACCATTTCTTACCATTCATATTATTATTGTCTACAACATATTATGCAATTTGCCAGTGCATTATCACTAATGCACATATACAGCCATGTTAATGGTGATTTGATACTTTCTCCTGACTCAGCTCACTCGTTTGAACAAATCTTTTTTCTTCAATAGAAATGGACAAATACACAGCATGTGTATGGCCACGTCTGGAGCCCTTCCTGATCGGGGTGCTTCCCGCCACACCCCCAAGCAAATTCAACATGCATTATCTGCGCAAGATGGCCTGTTACGTCCGGACCCGGGACGGTTGCTTCCCCAGGCTCGGCTGGCACATGTGGCGACACATCGCTTGTGGCAAACTGCAGCTGGCAGAGGAGCTTTCCTGGCTGTATTTTGAAACTTTTGATCTGTTGATGCCTCGTTCTGCAGAGCAGAGATTAGAGTGGGTAGAAGCTCTTTCTCAATGCCACACCCCTAAGGAACTTGACAAGCAGCGCTGTAAGGTAAGAAGAAAAATGGTGTAGTGCTTTTAGATAGTATTATTGCCGTTCTGCTGTGCTAATCTTTTTCTCTATGTCTTCTTTTAGCTGTCAGTGGACACTCTGCAGTTTCTACTTTTCTTGTATCTACAGCAACTGAACCGAATCTCTCTCCGCACGTCACTGATTGGGGAAGAGTGGCCAAGTCCCAGATCACGATCTCCCTCTTCCTCCTCTGAGAGAGACAACAAAATAAGCTCCCAAAATAAGGTGTGTGGGTGAATTTTATGAAAACATTGGTCATTTCATTATGGATCAAAAGAAAAAAATGTAAAGAAAATGTCATGACGTACAATGATTTGTGGGGTGGGGTGGGGGTATATGCTACAATTCAAAAGTTTAAGGTCATTAAGGTTTTTTTTATTTTTTATAAATTAATACTTTTACTCAGCAATGATGGATTAAATTTCAAATAAATGTTGTTCTTTTGAAGCATTGGTGAGCATAAGAGACAAAAACATTACAAAATTTTTTTTTTAACAGTTTGTGTATGTACAAATAGTTAACAATTATATATAATAGAAATGTATGTATTTGTTTTGTTTTATTTTATATTTTATTTAATTTATGAAATGGAAAATTGGGGATGTGTTTCATTGTCATGAAAATAATGTAAAATAATTTAAATATGAAATAAAATTGAAAATCTTTACAAATTGTTTACATTTTTCCTTATGCAAAATACAATCTCTTATTTTTTCTTATGGGGTGAAATGTATCCTCAGACATCATCAGATTCACTTTTGTATGTCCTCTGAATGTACTTTAACTTGTTACTCACACAGGCAGGTGTACATTACATTTGTGCCTGTATCCTGTAGGAAAGATCAGGTTTTTTTGGTTTATAAAGACTTATGTATAGAGAGAATTCCATTTTGTTTATTTTTTGCATGATAGTTTGTTTATTCCTTCTGTTTGACCAGAACTGGGACGACCAGGCTCATCTTACTTTCATTCAGACACACCTGGCTGAGCTTTTGGAGCTGCTAGTAGAGCCAGGCCAGCTGAGCAATTCAGGGCATGTTCTGCGTGACAGCCAGCTCACTTCAGAGGCCCTGGAAAGCCTCAGTTTGTTGCTGGAAGGATCTGTGAGCCATAGCCGTACCGTGTACCCAATCCACAAGCTCCTGAGCCACTCGCCACTGCAGTCCCAGGCAGGATTCTCCAAACTCAGCCGCTCCTACTCTCTGCAGCAGTTCCAGGGGTTTCTGCATCAGGCTCTTTGCCTCAACCCCTTCGGCATCTCCACCTGCTCACAATCGGGAAAGAAACTAGCATGGGCCCTGCAAGGTAAACTGGAAGTTCTCGTCAAAGGAATAAAGTAGATTTTTTTTTCAAGGGTGTTTAAAGTTTCACAAATCAAATGTTCTTTAGGAATATTTGTGGTATAGTTTCATTTAAAGGGGTCATGAATTTAGAAATCAACTTTTACTTGAGCAACTTTTACTTTTGATATAAAAGAGATCATCTTACTAAAAGAATATCCTGTACGTTTCAGAACTGAAAACGTCCTTGTTACTGAAATAAAAGCTTTTATTGACACCAGGCCCAGAGAAAGCCAGATCCTGGAATGTGCCTACATATGATGTAATAGATAGGTTAAACACCACCTCCACAGAAAAATATCAACGCCTAATTCTGTAGCCCCGTCCACTGACTCGAGCATGACACAGTAGGGAAATAACGGATCGAGCAACCAAGCAACAAACATGCCGTTAAAGATTGCTAAATATTGTGCAGTGCCTGGTTGTGGAAGAACACAGTCGCTACATAACCTTCCTTCAGATTCAAATGTTAGGAATGCGTGGTTGAACTTTATTTTTAATGAAGTTTCAGCTCACGTGAGTAAAACATTGAGCGTTTGTTCACTTCATTTCACCGCAGATTCCTTTGAAAACAAGGCACAGGTCGACGCAGGATTTGCAGAGAGGCTGAGATTAAATATCAATGCTGTGCCGTCTATATTGGCGCAGCACACTTATGAGTAAAAAAATATTTTTTACTGTGTCACTATTGCTTTGTTAAAGATCGCTTGATATGTCCTGATTATGTGTACGTGTCTACAAAAGTCACAGAAGGCTTCAACTATGAAGGTTGTCAAACAGACACACAGAAAGGTAGTTTACTATTCAAAACTGTTATCCAATCATAGCAGTGGGCGTTTACTTCCAGGTCTTCAATGCGCCACACCCATAAAAACCAAGCGTTTCTCGAGCCGGCCTCTAAACCAAGGTAGAAAAGCCTATCACTTATTGATTTTTTAACGTAAAAACCATGCAAACGTCACAAGTGGACCGCAGACAACAGTACAGTATAAAATAATTTAAAAAAGCCAGTTCATGACCCCTTTAAATTGTGAGTGGAAACAAAAACTTTTCATATACACAGACATGATTTGCATATAAATCTTAAAGGGGTCATATGATGCTTTTTTAAAGATCATTATTTTGTGTATTTGGTGTAACAGAATATGTTGACATGCTTTACTGTTCAAAAAACACATTATTTTTCAAATACTGTACATTATTGTAGGTCCTCTATGCCCCGCCTCTCTCAAACGCTTTGTTTTCTACAAAGTCCCTCCTTCCGACAAAGTCTCCTCTAATTGGCCAGCTGACCCAGTGCATTGTGATTGGCCGAACAACACAAGCACTCGTCGGAAATGTAACGCCCCTTACCATAATCGCGAGACCAAAAGCCATACTCTTTAATTAAAATGGTTTGAATATTTAGTTTAGCTTAAAATGATTGATGGTTAACCAGATTATAGAATTGCTAACTCTTCATATTTTGTTTTGTAGTAGCGGGCACCCTAAAGAAAGCTAAAATATTCAGAAATACCCACATGGCTCCTCCAGGAAGTCGACTGCTGCTCATGTCGCAGGTTTGCAAACAGACGTTGGCCAAAGACTCTGAAAAGCTGAATAATGCCAACATCAAACTCCACCGCTGCAGTGAAGCTTTCATCTACCTTCTCTCTCCTCTGCGGTGAGGAATCATCTTAT